AACGGATGCTATGACGTACCAAGCCCAGGCCGTGTAAATGAAATAACTCGTTGAGCTGTTATTCTTCCTTGATGAGGGCCAAAATGGCCAAGACCCATTCAGCTTCAGCCAGACACATTGAACAGGTAAACGAAAGTTGATCTCTGTGTTTTGTTGTAAGTTAAACATGACGTCTTGCCTTGCCATTGCCTTGTCACTGCAAAGAGTTGCCCGGTGTCACTTTTATATCTGATTAAATTTCCAGATGCACAGCAAATTTGAAAGAGAATTTTACATGCGTCAAGTATAGGCCTGCGCCGAATAATGAGCGTTCTTAATATAAAATATTCATTTAAGGCTTTTACCAGGGTAGCTAATTATATGGTTTCCATGGGCATATGAAGCTTAAATGCTACAAGGTGCTACAAAACAGTAAACAAAACACCAAAATTTCATACATATTTGTTTTGGTCTTTCAATCAATTAAGGGGTAATTTTTCAAGCGATAATATGACAATTGGTGGTTCCATCCACGATACATACGCACATATTTTGTGGTTTGTATTGTGTCAATAGTGATACAAGTACTACAAGCTTCCAAGCCTGAAATTCAAGTCGACTCGTGTTTCAACTGATGTAATACTCGTATTAACAATTTTCATAAATAAGAAATACAATTATGGATCAAAAAAGAAACCTAGTGGTGAGATTAGTCGCAAACAATGTCAGAAAAGATTCAAGAATATTGTACAATTGTGTTGCTCTGTCAGTTTAAGATATTAAGTAATAATGAAAACTGTCAACTTCTTGGTTTGGAGCTTTTAAAGCCTCCAAGGCAATTTCCAACAAACGACAACCCGGTTCGAGAAAATCTTGCAAAACTTCACTTCAGACCAACAACCTAGTTTTTGTTTGTCTCTTAATAAGCGCAAAAGCCCTGCACAAAGTTATATTACTCAACTTATTACGGGCTTCATTTTCTAATAAATACTCAAATGCATCATGCAAATGCAAAATGCAAACAAGGCAATTATACAAATGCACGAACTCAGCCACTGCAACTCACACAATTTATAGAAGGGCGCCTAATTGTGGTATGATTAGTTGATTTGAGGATTCTGCTCTCATTCATGCTCTGCGTTTCACTTCCATTCAACATTCGAATTAAAGATGTAATCGCACTTTTATGGGGGGCTTTATAAATACCAATTCTTTATTTCCTATTGCATTATGCCATTAATACGTCGTTAATATTCATATAACATTGTTCGTTTACTTATTACTTTGCACGCGTCTACAACAAATACTCAACAAAAAAGTGTTTAAAAAGGAGATACAAAATTCATATATAATATATACAGAGATAGAGCCAACAAAACACAAGGTTTATAGAACGAAATGTACCAAAGGTGTGCACCAAACACTTCGGTGTATGGTATGCATAGAGCGATAAACCTTTCGAAATTTCATAGTCAAAACTTTGGTTCCTCTAACGATCCGTGAGAAATACTCGCGCTAACCAACAATTGTATCAATTTTCTAATAATTATGCTTACTCGATAATACAAATGTTAAATGTGTTCTTATTTACGGGGGAGAGGGAGGGCTTTTATATTTTGGTTTAGTTGTTTTGTTCACACGTCCAGGCATAATCGAATCGAATCAACTGGATACATTGGTTTCTTGCTTGCGTTTCGATAGATCGAAAATCATTATGATTACGAGTTGGGCTAAAAATTAAGATAGATTTGTATAGCTAGGAGTGTGTAAAGTTAAGGATTATCCATTTAGCACGAGCACTGATCCTTGGCATTTGCGGCCTCGCTACTCAGGGAGGTTCGTGACGGCTGCGAGGGACGATGCTGCACCCCTGACTCGGACGCATTCAGATCGAGCCGTCCCTCCTGAATGTTCTGATAGATCTTGCGTGCGGTTTCGAGAAACGCTTCCTCCACATTTTGTCCACTGTTCGAAGAGAGTTTTATATCGAAAATTCACTTCTTTTGCTGCCTCTTTATACTTACGTCATTGCACTCGCTTCGAGAAACATGAGGCCATTCTCATCGGCAAACTCCTTGGCCTCCTCGTATGTCACTTCACGAGTGCTCTCCAGGTCGGACTTGTTACCAATCAGAAAGATCACTGTGCTTGGATTTGTGAGATTTCGCGTGTCGGTGAGCCAGCTGCTCAAGTGATTATACGTCGAGCTAAAACAATTTAAAAATGGTTAAGTTTGGGTCGGGATCTTCCTTGACGTCTGCTTACCGTCTCGTTATGTCATAAACCATGAGAGCACCGGCAGCTCCTCTGTAGTAAGAGCGTGTGACTGCGCGGAACCGCTCCTGGCCCGCTGTGTCCCAGATCTGTAGCTTGATTTTTTTGTCATCCACCTCGATGATGCGCGTGCCAAACTCCACGCCAATGGTGTGCGGGCAATTGGCCATGACTGGGGGATAAACGAACAGTTTAATGGATGGCTCGATATATCAATGAAGTTCTACTCACATTTCTTTTCGGTAAACTGATGCAGCAGGCAGGACTTGCCCACGCCCATGTCCCCGATGATGATGTATTTGAAGATGTAATTATAGTTGTACGGGGCGGCCGTCATATTGGGACCTGCAAGAGGACACAGAAAATTAGTCACGTCCAGAAATCTGCTTCTTCTTTGGCGGCATCCACACATTTTTCAATGAGACAGTCGATGCGCTCGTGCAGTTTGTTTGCAATGCCTCGCACTTTGCTCATCTTGACATTCATTGTGCTGACCCTCCAAACCAAGCAAACAGCCAACGAAGAGTTTTGCGCTATATTTATGCAGCTATTTGACCGAGAACCACCACAGAGTGCTTATCAAGATATTGCCGCGCTACATCAATTTGTTCTGCAGCGGCGAGGTGGCTCCAACTTCACAATATTTTGCTCCCCCTTTTCTTTTTTTTGTGAGCTGCCCCCGATATTTTTCTAGGCATGCCTGTGTTTGAACAGCCGACCAGGTTTCTTTGCTCACTGAGTCGAGCCCAACTGATATTGCGACGGGCAAAACCCTCCAGGGGGCAGCACGCATGACACTTGACGTGAAGTTGCTGAAGTGTGAGCATCAACCCGCAGGGTCTGTACTTCCAAGGGGCGCAAGTGAATGGAGCATACACCATTGACTGAAATGAATCGAGACTCGTCTCAAGGTCGCGCGGCCAGCGTGTGAAGTGAGTTACTGGAAATATTATTGCATTATCTGTTCGATATGCGAAGGCATTCATTCATTCATTCCCTATCCGAGTATATTGCAAACCACAGCACAGCAAAACTTGCGCATGTTGCTGTTTATCTGAGTATTTCTACATGCAACGCAAAACTTCTTATTCTTATATTAGAACATCGGCTCTCGATGACTGTTTAATTGCTTGTGAAACGGTACAGTAATAATCAATTTCATAGACTCCCTGGCACCCCGCGACATGCAATTTAGATTTGTCCGGGTCGCTGGTCTCGTGTCTTATCAGTCAACACACAAAAGGCCAGCCAGCCAATGGAGCGCTGGGTGGCTGATGTCGGTCGGGGGCGGAAACGTTCGTGAAGGGAAGTCTAAAATGCGTAGATGGATCGGTGCCTGTGCATCGTTATGAACACGAGAAGCACGAAGGCGCACCCAAAACAACGGCAAAAACGGCATTCGGGGGGTGTATACCATTACGGGCGACACGGGTAGCGCGGGGAAATGAGTACTCAGCAAAATACAGAAATAATAAGAGCGGAATAGAGATAGAGGGAGAGAGCTAATACACTTTTAGTACTGGGGGAAAGTCTGATGGAAAACAACCAACCCACCACCCATCACACTTCGCCAAGTTAGGTTTCCATTTTAAATAATTTAATCACAAGTACAGCGCTTATAATTGGCTTAGAGGCGAGCATACCGCACTATTACTCACCGTTTTAGTACACCTTAGGGAGCGGATTGAATGTAGGGCGGATACGAAGTGCTGCGGGGGTGCGTGTGGTGTGTCTGTGTACCAGTGCGGCTGTGTGTGTGTATTGTTGTTTTCAGGCAAGCAGTTTTTTCCACCAGATATCTTCGAGTACAAACGGCAGCACAGCACTGCGCTATTGCATGCACTGATGTGATGGACTAGGGCAAGGCCACCAAAAAGTTTATTGATTTAATTATTGTTAAAATTAATGCAAATCTGTGGACACTTTTCTTTTGGGTTTCTTGTTTTTTTTTGCATGCCCAGTGTGACCGCGAAGTTGTCGTAAGATTAATCGTCTGACCCTCAAAAATATACCGATATACACCTACTTATTTTAAAAATATACCGTAAATATACCTCAGACATTTACATTCCAAACAATTGCACGTTCGTGAAATTCTGTATACCCTATAACCATTCATAAATGTTGAAATTCGGATTTCCAAGCTACTTTTAATGTTAAATGTGTATTTAAAATATCTTTATCTTATAAAACATGGTTTTTCATATATTTATTTCCTTTGTATATTTCCCAATTGTATTAATATTAAATGGGTATCTCTGTTGCGTACCCTAAGCAGATGCTGCAAGAGTATGTGTAGAATAAATGTAAATATAAGCATTGGTTTTTTATTATGTAATTTTATCGGATATATTAATCAATTTTTTTTAGCGGTAGTTACTTTTCTGCGTTCCCTTTTACCAGCCGAGCCAATGCCTACAAGTTCAGTATCTGTACTGAATAAGGCGTACGGAATGTGCATATGTACATATGTTGGGATTGCTGGCCAACCGGCTTCAGCCATGAATATGAAATTTATGTCTAACTGATAAATCAGTCTCTCAGAAATGTTCTCAAGTGGCTACTATTTCTATGAACACAGCTGTATACAAATATGTGCATATACAATTATTTTGAGTGTATGGGCGATAAAACTCTGACGAGTTCAACAATATTATGAACACACATACATATGTATGTGGCTTGAGCAGAGAGTCGGGCATTCCCGGGTATATAACAGATAACGATATAACCTGGAGCGAAAGAGTTACCGAAAAACAGTCGAGACTCGAACGCCAAATAGTTCACTTTACACTACGCGTACCGAGAGCTTCCAGAACAAAATAAATAGATAATTATATAGCGATGTTCAAGGAGGTAAATATTTGATGTGACCGGGGAAAACGGAAAGAGATGGGGCGGTACCTTATCTTATCGACATGGAGAGGCGATTGCTGGACTTTCAATCCTTTTTTTTTCGATTTGGTTTATTCAAATTACTTTGATTGTGTCCGATCGTTGTTGCAGATTATCATATTGGTGACGCTTTTGGTGGCCGTGGCCCTGGCAATGCATCCGGTAGAGGAAAACGAACGCCATCGTCAGCTGTCCCACCATGCACGACCTGGTCAGCATTTGAAGACAAACAAACACCATTCTCACGGTGACGAGCACATCCAGCATGGCAAGCTTGCGGTTCCTGCACTCGGCCCTAAGCAGCACACAAAATCCGCGGCACACAAGAAGCACGGACAGAGCAAGGCAGCAAGATTGGCGCAGGGCCACAAGAAGCATCAACACCTGCAGGCCCAGAGCAATAAACGATCGAAGTCCCGCAAGCTGTCGCATGACGGCAACCACCCCCATAAGCGCCACACGGGATCGCGTCGCCATTTTTAGTCAGGAAGTTCTGATCAGTGTATTTATATGTATCCATAGTTCACAATAAAGTCAGCAGCAGCAGTGAAATTCACGAAAATGTGTTACATCTTCCAGTCGCTAAAAAATGTTTGGGTTGGGCATGAGCGTGTCGTAAAATCATTGGATAAGAAAAGAGGTTCAGGTTCAGGTCGCGGGTCGAAAATGTTTAATTACGCTTGGAGAGCTTGGCTGTCTGTTTATGTTTCTTCGGAAGCACTCAAACAGTCTCGTAATCCGGTTATGGCGAGCGAAGTGTAGTGAAAATAATAAAGCATATGTAAGAGTTTTTGCTTTTATTGCAATAATGCCGGTGCGGTGTTAATTGTTTCTGGGGTCAAACACTCATGGCATGGCATTAGGCGAAAATTTGCAAACGTTTTTTGGGGAATTTTTTTTGACAATTTCTTAGCTCACTATGACCATTCATGATCGATCGTATCTGTCTTATCTGTCTTAGCCCCAGACGGGATACATTTGGGGACTGTAGTAAGTTCTTCCATAGCTGCGATATCCGTGGTATCCTCCGTACTTGTATCCCCCTCCATATCCGCCGTATCCATTGTAGTACCCTGGAAATGGAACCGCATAGTAGCCATAGCCCACGGAATCGGCAGTGGAGAGATCACTTGCGGGCATGGGAGGTTTCCTCTGGAAACCATAATAAGTCGATTGGTCAGCATGGTATGATATCACCTTTGTCACTCACCTCCACGGGTCCGGCTAAAATGAATGTTGCTAGCACAGCCAGAACGGAAAGAACTGCAAGTAGCTGAAATAAAAATGGAACAAGGTTTGGTTTAACAAGTTATTTTTTACACCCATTCCTCTGCACACTACTTTTGTCATTGTTCAAAATTTATTTATTTTATTCCTGGCTGAGCACTGGTTAGAAGGAATTTTGATTTTCAACTGTGGTTGCTACCAACAAGCCTTCAATATTTATAGCGGTGAAAATACGTTACCGGAGATCGATTTAACACATCTTCATTGAGTGTGGAAGTCTGGGAAAGTCGTTATCCCAATCAGGGCCAGAAAGATACATATCTCGATCAGATAATTTCCATCAGCTATGTTTAACACATATTTTCAGATAAGGCGGTGGCAAGTTTCGGTAAATTTCGGTACATACACTGATTTTATAACAATAAACAATTAAGTCCTGGGTTCTTTTTAAATTTAATGTATTATTTGTGGCGCCTAAAATATGTATTAGTCGATATTACTACAATCGCCAAACTGCACCACTATCGGAAACTTTTACCGTACGGTATATTACATTGGCACATCATTTAATTTCCTCGATTTTGAGCTTCTGTTTAATATTACTAGCTAGCTAGGACTTCTGGAATTGAACAGATCATTTTATCTAATAGATAAATTAATTTTCTATAATGGTTGCTAAATTTTTGTGAAGTCAAGACAAAACCGACTTCGAGCGCTAAAATAAAAGAAGACATTTGCATTTATTCTTGTGTCTTACTCGCATATATACTCTTGCAGCAGCTGGCTGGGGTATGAATACCGTAGGCCGTGGCCGATTTTAACAGAATGTAGAAAAGTACGCAGCTCTGGTTGAAATAATCCAACCATCGATTGGACTATCGATTGTTTTTTGCAGCTCTAGCGGGGCGCACGTGTTGCGGACTTCTTCGTTTGTTTATGTTGCAATATTGTTTAACATATTGCCGAAAACATGTTCGTCAACGAAGTTAACGATGTGAAAATATACAACTTGAGCGCCGGCAAGTCGGTGCCGGATGTAAGTGAAAGATTATCCACGAATTTAGGCATCCAAATAAAAATGTTCTCTTTCAGTGGCTGACGGACCGGCGCAAGAAGTCAAAGTTGATGAAGAAGGTGGACTCGCGGAGGCATATTGAGCTCATCCAAGACTTTGACATGCCAGGCGTGTGCACCAGCATTCGCATGAGTCCCGACCAGCAGTACATCCTAGCCACAGGAACGTACAAGCCGCGTGTCAAATGCTTTGAAGTCTCCAATCTCTCCATCAAATTTGAGCGCTGCTTTGACTCGGAGGTGACCACGTTCGAGGTCATTAGCGACGACTATTGTAAAATGGTGTTCCTGCAATGCGATCGCTATGTAGAGATTCACGCGGCCCACGGACGGCACTACAGGCTCAGGATTCCCCGCTTTGGGCGCGACATGAAGTATCACAAGCCCAGCTGTGATATGTACATAGTGGGAGTGGGCAAGGTGAGCTCTATCCAGAGTCGGTATATTTTCCATACTGATCGCTTAGTTTCCAGGACATTTATCGACTGAATCTTGAGCGCGGTCAGTTCCTACAGCCCTTTGAGACAGACGCCAGCTGTCTGAATGCCTGCGATGTGAATCCCGAGCATCATCTGCTTGTTGCTGGCACCAAAGAGGGCACGGTTGAGGCGTGGGATCCGCGAACAAAGCAACGATGCTCCACCTTGGATGTGGCCATGAAATTGCCTGGCGTCAAGGAGTTTCCCTCAGTCACAGCTCTAAAGTACCGCAATGGCTTACATATGGCGGTGGGCACGGCATCTGGCCATGTTCTTATCTACGATATACGCGCCAAGCAGCCGCTGCTAGTTAAGAATCACCTCAATCGACTGCCCATCAAGCGGCTAGCCTTTAACCCTACTCAGAATGCTGTTTACAGCATGGACGAGGCGACGCTGAAGCTGTGGGATGAGCAGACGGGCAAGCAGATCGCTTACGTTGAGTCAACCAGCTCGTTTAACGATTTCTGTACCATACCGGACACGGGCATGTTCTTCCTGGCCCAGGAAGATGTGAAAATGTTGACCTACTACGTACCCGCAATGGGACCGGCTCCACGCTGGTGCTCGTTCCTGGACAATCTCACCGAGGAGATCGAATCGGAGGTTCTGGAGAATGTCTACGATGACTATCAGTTTGTTACAGCCAAGGAGCTGGCAGAATTGGGCATGGAACATCTTGTTGGCACCAATCTGCTCAAGGGCTACATGCATGGGTAAGGGAAAACCAAAGCTAAATGTTTGACCAGTTTGGGAATTCATTTTCTTTCTTTTTTAGCTACTTCATGGACGCTCGTTTGTATAATAAGGCTAAGGCTGTCGTTGAGCCCTTCGCCTTTGACCGGTTCCGCAAGGATAAGATCCGGCAGGAGATCGAAAGTGAGAGAAAGTCGCGCCTGCAAATCGATTCAAAACTACCAAAAGTCAACAAGGAGTTGGCTCTCAAGATTATGGACGAGCAGGCCAATCCCTCAAACAGTGCCAAGCAGCGCAATGTCCCCAATCTGCTGGAGGACTCACGTTTCAAGGCCATGTTTGAGAATTCCGACTTTGCGGTCAACAAGGAGGCCGAGGAGTATCGTCTTCTGGCTCCTGTTCTCAACCGCTTGGACAAGTCCAAGGCCAAGGAGTTGAAGCAGCGTGTAGAGGTGGCTAGAGTGGCCGAGCTGCATGCCGAGGAGGCACAGCCTCGTGACGACAGCGACAATGATGAGGATCTGTTCGGTTTTGAAAAGAGCGACGGCGAAAAGGAAGAAGAGAGTGGTGACGAGGCCTCTTCGGATGACGACGACAGACGGGAATATGTCAAAGAAATGAAACAGGCCTACAAACAGGTCAAGCGACAACGCGAGGATGAGGACGAGGAAGAGGACGCGATGGAAACAGAGGAGAATGGCGATCAGCGGCAGAGGGAAGCCGCTGATGAACCAGAAAGGCACTTGAAAAATGGCAATTACAATAATCCACCCACAAATGGTATTGGAAAACGCTTTACCATGACACCGCTGGATCAGCACCAAGGCAACAGCTTTATGCAGCAACGCATAAAGCAGGCAAGCCTGCAGGATCGAGTGCGCGTCATGTCCCAGCTGGAGGGTCAGGTGACCAATGTGGGACGCTCCCTCGGCAATCGGCAAATGACCTTCGAGGTGAACAAGCAAAAGAAGACACAGTACCATGCCAAGAAGCGTGAGGCGGAGCTGAAGAAGCATCGCGACGAGAGAAGAAGCATCGTCCGACCCATCAAATCGCTGAGGCTAAAGAAGGTTAACTTTAAGTAGAAAGTTTCAACAAATTGCAATTAGTTTTGTAAATAAATTCATATTTTATTTTAAAAGTCCTCCACGTCAAAGTCGAACATCGGCAGAACATCTTGCAGTAAGCAAGGATCAACTGGCTCGACCACCAAATCATAATCATCCATGGATTCGAATTCGAATAACTGCAGAGGCTCCAATTCAAGGCGATCATCATAGAACTCAATGGCTGAGATGGAACCAAAAGCGAAGTCGCTCTCGCTGCCATCCGGCTTCCCCTTCTTGACTGGACTTATATTCACTTCTGTTGCAGCTTCATCTGCTGCTTGGTTAGGTCTTAATCTAAACTCATCCTTTTATATTGGGAGAGTTACTTACGCACAAAAGATTCACCACCTTTGGGCATAATTTCCACCAAACGCAGTAGAGCCTGGGTCACAGGACCCGTCTTGGGCTTGGGCATTTTTTCGAAATAATTACGGAAAAACAATTTGGAATTTACCAGTTCCAAGGCTGCTTCGGGCTGTCCAGTTTGAGTGGAAGCCGATAAAGCCGATTGTTCTGCACCCATTTTTTTCTTGGACAAATAATAACTTGCAGTCGACAAAGATTGATAAACTAGCAAATGGACTACTAGATTGACGAAAGAATCCCATACTGGTACATTTCAAAAATGTCAAGGACTGCTATCCGATTATTTCCTCTAATATATTATTTTTGAGAGAATAGTTTTTCACATAATCTATATGTGGATGCAATTATGACAACACCCATGTCAGCCAGGTTTTATTTGTATTCGTCAACAAAACTGTACAGCCTTCCAGTGATCGCTAAGGAGCACCTCTTGGTTATATCTGGCTATCCGCTTTGTACTCGAATTACCTACTAAAAGGGAAATAGTTTAGTTCGTAGACTGGGATCAGGTTAATTTAGGATCTACAAACACCACTTGTATGCATCCTTTACAGGTGTCTAATACTTATACTACGCTTATTGCCAGTGCACTGTTTCTGCCAACTCATTCTGTAAAATATTCTTTATGAACTACTTTCAATAATTAATTTAGAAAGTCTACTACTGGCAATGCCAGTGAATCAAGTACATAAATTGTAAAATCAGAACAGGAAACTATGCCAGCGCATGATCTGTTCAAAAATGAAGTGCGGAACAGGCCACACATTAACAAATTTCCTAAGTGGAATATTCATACTTCTCCGCTGCAGCTTTCTACCTCCGAGTTGTGACATTTATTAGCAAATTCTAGTTGTTGAGTTTCTCTGTGATCGAATTGCTAATTAACCTGATATTTACTTACTTAGTCACTGCTCCCAGGCATTAGAGATCCATTAGAGCTTTTCCATCAACTGAATTTTATTTCGTTTGAGCTTTTTACTCGCTCAGCCCGAAGCTGCATTTCGGACCACTGACTGAGCTTTCTGTGCAAAGCTCGTGTTGTAGATCAAAATTTCGTATAAATATGAAGCTGTTGTAGAATTTTCAGCTTATTTCAAGTTTTTCTTTTCAATCGTTTGTGCTAGTCTTTGTCCAAGAGTGGTAGGTAATACGAGTACCAAAGTGGATTAAACAATAGTACTTTTGATGATCCTAAGCGATCAGTGGAGGTCTGGAAAGTTCTGTGTTGCTGCTTCTTAGGGGAACAAAATTACAAATTCTTTTTGGCAGTAGATATTCCTGTGATAGATAGCATCCTTTCCATGTCATTTAGTGCCCAGTTGAGCTATAAATTTAACATCGAGACCTTCTAGTTAGTATTTAGCATAATGATTATTTTTTTTCCTTAATTACTGTATTTACATTTAACGTTTGGTCTGCCGTTCAAAAATTAGCCTCCATACCTTTAAATTCTATGGGAAGCTTCAAGCTTCAGCAACTCCGTGCCAGGCATTTGATAATCATAATACAAATATATTACAGAGCTCACAGAAATACGCAAAACCACAAACAATTTAATTCCCAATGAGATTTTATCTAATAAAATCTGGCAACCGGTTGGACAAAGGCCCATAAATACACCGATAGAGAAACAAGAAAAACAGAAAACAAAGTAACTCACGACTTGGCGCAGACGTAGACGTAGTAGACACCAACTAGTCCAATGCTGAACTTTAGCATATTGCAAGACGACAAATCGGAGCTTGTCTTCGCCTTCTGGCTGGGGTCTTAAGGCGTTGACAAGGTCTCTTCGAACTGGAGTCCAAGAGCTGTGACAAGAGCTTTGGCAAAGCTACATCTGATCGAGTCCAAATCTCACTTCCACCTTGAACCTGAAGTTTGTCTGAGGAAGTACTTTGCAGAGTTCTCTTTGCTGTTCACGATTCTCCAATTGTCAAACACCTATACTCGCTGGTTATCAGTGTGGTGTAGTGACACTTCAGAAAGAATTATAAAGTCTCGTTTTTAAGCAAGTTTTTAAAGTTTTCGTGTTTGGGCGAAAAACCAGTTTATTGATTTTGACAAATGTGTTTTAATCAGCATGCAAGTTGGCCAAGTTTATAATTGTTTGATTAGGCACACAGTATGTACAGATCAGAGATTTGTCCGTCGTTTTTTTGCGAACGAAAGATTTATGGGAAAAGCGTGCTTGAACTGTCAAATGATTTTGGTCGTTTACCCAAGCCCAAGCACGCAAAATGCCAAACGTATTTATGAGTTCTTCTTCAGAGTTCATTCTCAGGCTGTTACATAAATGTTCCAACCCACTCTCAGATCTTAGATTAGGAGCTGCAACTGTCAGCAGTCAAGGCTACTACATATGTATGACATGAGTCGTTGTAAACTGAACAAGCTGCTAATCGGAGCTGGTTTCCGATGCATTTATAATTGCATAAATATATGTACACATGTAGATATATGTAAAAACAAAGTAAACATGAAACAGAGTCAAGCTGGCCAAGGCCTCACGGCATAAAGTCTCACTTCAGTGCAGATGTTAATTAATTAATGAACGAAAAGCAACTAAATGCAGCTAAGTGCATTGAGAACGGATAAGCAGTAGCATTTAAATAACAAAAAATGTCAGTTCTTAACAAAATTTCCTCCTCCTTTCTTCCTGTACAGCGACAATGTTCCGATTCCTTGCGATCACTGCCTGCCTGGCCATCAGTGTCCACGCTTATTCGCAGGGTGGTCCCAAGGCCGCCTGTCGGGACCTGACGCCACAGCATGGGGCCAAGCTGCAGACGGAGAAGCCTCCATACAGTATCTCCGGCCCAGCGCACGTCCGAAGCGACCAGAAGCTGACACTTACCCTCGGCGGTGAGGAGTTCCTCGGCTTCATGATCCAGGCTCGCGACGGTCAGAACCGGATAGTGGGAGAATTCAAGGTGGTCGATGCCGTGCATTCCCAGACACTGGACTGCGCCGGCAAGCAGGACACACTGACTCACCTGAATGCCGCAAAGGGCAGCCCACTGACCGGCATCAAATTTGATTGGATCCCACCAGCGGGTTACAAGGGCAACGTCAAGTTCATGGCTACTGTCGTCCAAACGGGTTCGGTCTACTGGGTGGGACGCGTCACCAAAGACGTTGACGTGGAGTAAATGAAGCTGTTCTCAGTATTTGTGATAGATTTTTCATGTTTATTTTTCATAATTCTATAATAGGGTTGACCGTTAATGCTCCAAGCAACTTTGGAACCAAGTATTTTTTGGAATAAAGTCAAAAGTTAATGAATTTCTTTGAAGAAAATTGTCTATACTTAATGGAGGCATTGCCAGATACGTTTTAATTCGAATTAAAACAAAAACAGTTGAAATACTGAAATTAAATTTACGAAAAGTGGTATTTCATACAAGTCAGCTTTCGAATGTCTTGAAAGTCAGCTGTTTGCGTCATAAATATTCAACAAGCTGGCAGCACTGTGCTATTGTGAAAATATTTCATATTATTATGTATATATCTATAAAATATATATTATCACAACCCTATTTAAAGAATCCTCTCTCAACATTTGGGGTTTCATTGGGATTCCCCTACATTCCATTCTTAATTACGTTCTAAACAGTTTCTTTAGCCAGCTTTCGATTGTCTCGTAAGTCAGCTGTTCGCGTCAACAAGTTGGCAGCGCTACTATCATCACCGGTCTGAAGGAAACTCAAATTTGTTTTGTAATTTTGTATCTTGAACATTTTCCAGTTTCAACTATTTGGAATGTTGCGAAATTTGCTGCGAAGCTTCGAGATTGCTCTCAGGCTTCACACACCCACTGCCATAGCTCCTGTTCTGGCTACAGCAGCAACAGTTGGCTGCTCCAGGCGCACGTTGTTCACACAGTACGAGTTCGAAAGCAAGGCAAGGCCAAATAAGTCCCTGCTAACGGCGACAGCGGCCACCACAGCGAGTCCCGGTAGCGAGGCGGACAATGACTACGTACCGTATTGCCCGGAGCAGGAAACAGGGACCAAGGCCAGCGTTCTCATTGACATACTGAGGGAACGCTTTCGGCTCACCGATGCCGAGCTGCAGCGGATTATGGGCGATGAATCGGTGCACCGCTGCTACCGCAGTCGTTCCGTGATCATGACGCTGGACCTGCTGGAACTGGAGGGCGTTAGCAAACGCAGCTTTGTGGAGTATCCCTGGCTGCTGTCGCTGGAAAACAGTGAGTAAATCTCCTTCTGCTCTGCGATTTGCGTTTGTTTACAGTGGTGTGCTTCCCACAGAGCGCCTGCAGCTGAAACTGCAGCTAATAAAGTCAATGAACATTCGGGACATCAATCACTTTGTGCCCTTCCTGCGACTCACTGTGCCACGCCTCCGAAAGCTGGTTGGCGCCCTCAACACAGAGATGAAGACAATACCGCAGCAGAATCGCGTTTACTACATCAGCGAGACTCTGCAGGTGAGCCCGGAGATAGTGACCAAATACCTCTGCAAGCGGCTTTTCATACTGGAGATGCCCTTCGAGATGTTTGAGAAGAACCTGCAGCACATGATCGACTACAATGTGTCGCCCATCAACATACTAAAGGACCTGTGGGCCTTTCGGTACACCCCGCGGTCCGTGCAGTTGCGCCTGGAGAGGGCAAAGCGGGCGAAAAAGGACAAGATAATGCCGTGGATGGTTCGTTGTCCCGAGCCCATACTGCAACGCTCCCTCAAGCTGTCTGTGGATGAGCTCCAAGTGCTTGGTCCGCACTCCTCCGTGGTGGAATACTTGAGCCATCGCTTGGGCTTTAGCGTGAGTGAAACCAAAGTGATTATGGACAGACACCCGCAGGTACACACTGTGCGTGTGACAAAGGTAAGTGCAGCACATTCAAACACACACACACCGATAATGCAACTGTTTGGGTTTCTATTTTACAGATCAAGGAGGTGCTGGACTACTTGCTGGATGAAGCGAAATTCACGCGATTTGAAATTGCGCAAGTTCCACGTATTTTGTGCCACAGCCTGAAGACATCCCAGGCACGTGTGGAGGAGCTCAAGAGCCATGGATGTCGCCCATCCTCCCTGGTCATTCTTTGTCGCAGCAGAAGAGAGTATGAAAAGTTCCTACAGAGTTGGAAGAGCCAAGTGAGATCAGTTTAAGATCAGTAATAAAAGATTGCCGTGATAAGTTGAATACATTGAAATACTTGCTTAAGACGTTTATAATTAATTGAAACAAACATACATACATATAATTGATTTAAATAGTTTGCTTAGCTAACATTTAAATACGGTTTTGTGCTCCATTTGAATACCATTTCGTAGTTGTACTTCAACAGAGGTTAGCAGATTGAATTGTTTGTGTGTGGATTTATAGCTAGAGAAGACATGGAGTAAGCAGCTAGACATATGTGTAAAGCTATTGTTTATGAGCTGGAATAGTATCCTCTTGCCATTGCCAGCCCTACTTCTTTGTGTTTCTGTAAGCTCGTTACGTTTCCCCACCTCGAAAAAAGTTTAAACTAAAAGCTAAGAACCTCTTTGTGCTCGCTTAGAAATATCTTTGGTTGTGTAGCACGTGATTACACTGGGAATAAGAGTTTACTCTCGACTTAGTCGCGCAGCGCTCGACGCCGCTCTAGGGCCACCTGCATGGACCAAATGCTCAATGGCCGCATGTAGCCAATGGAGCGATAACGCTTCTCGCCGTACAGGGCCTCGGGAGTCTCGTAGTTCATGCCAATACGCTCCGAGAGGGTCTTGTACATGCCGCCGGCGGTCTGGAATGCCTCCTCGAACATGCCCTCCTGTATCATGGTGGCTGCCAGGGCATAGACCACGCCGGGCCACACCTCCTCCGCTTGAATATGGCTGTTGTCCACATGGCCCGGCATGGAGGGGTCTGCCACATTAGCTATGAAGCCATTGGCTGCCCCGATGCTGCCCTCGTGGAAGCCCATCACATTGTTGTCGTAAATACTCTTCAGAGCAGTGCGCACATTCTCCTTTGGATAGATTTCATAGTCAAAGCCGCACGACTTCAGATACCAATGGCCGCACAGCTGATCCGCCATTATGGTGTCCCGATGGCTGGGCGAGAGATCGAAGCGGTAGTAGCTGCCATTCCAGAGCTTTTCCTCCATAGATCGCTTGCCCTTCTCCAGTATGTCCTGATAGCGGAGGCAATCGTTCGGCTGATCCAGAATGCTGGCCATGGCCGACATTGCCTGCAGAGCGGCCAGCCACAGGCCCGAGCAGTACGCGCTGGGTCCATCCATTACCCAAGAGTCGTAGGTTTGGTCTGGCATTTTTGTGTTCTCAATCAGTCCATCGTTGTCCTTGTCATACTCAATGGTGCGCTCCATAATGGCCTTGCAGGCCCCATACATGGCTTTAAGATAGCCAAAAGCATCCATGAGATACACCTTGCCATTGGTCTCGTTGATATACATCGAAGCGGATTTGCGGTTTTCTGTAGGGAAATGTTTTAGAGAGTCTTAGCTGTCAGTCCATAAAGTATTGGACTTACGCTGCTTCTCGTCCGACGAGTTCTTGCGCTTGTTGTCCTGCGTGTACATTTCGTAGAGGCTTTCCTTGTCGATGAACTCAATGGAGCTAAATTTGCTGGCATTGTCCGCTTGGGCCTGGGCCAGTTCATTGAGTACATAATAGTCCCTGTAAACCTGCAGCACAAACTTGGTATTGAGATCCTTCCAATCGTTGACATCGTGAATGTTGTAGCAGTTGATCAAGGTAAAGGGTTCTGCAAGAAACACCAAAGTTGCCGCATTAATTTCCCTTTCCCTTCGAGTGGCTTGTGGGACTTGCCTTCATCGGGATCACCCAGATCGTGTGGCACACAGTTCTTGACCTTGCGTGGCATCACTTTGCCGTCGTAAAGCATCTTTCTGGTGTCACTTAGCTCTGCGGCAATGGCATCCTTGAAGTCATACTGCAGGCTCACCTGAAGATTCGGCCAGAGATGGGCCAGAGCTGGCGAGGCATAAAAGTGGACATCATACGTGTTGTACATGCGATACTCGTGCCCCTCCAGATAGCCAAAGCGACCATAGGCTAGCCTGGGATCATCGTAGGCCAGCTCCTTGCCCAGCGACGAGTCGCACTTCAGCCAGATGGTTCCTCCGTCCGAGATAAAGTAAAGCTGATTGAATATGGCGCACTTGTACCAGTCGGGTAGAGTCCTGCAAGGACATCAAAATACCAGTTAAAATACACTCTAAATGGCAGCTAAGTGAGGACCTACTCATCGTTGAGTATGGGCCGCTGCCAGGCATCAATGAGTCGCTCCCAGCTGGGATACTGCTTCAGGGCATGCTCGCATATCTTTGGCCCCGACTCGCCGCTGTCATCAAAGTATTTGGTGTAGTAGCGCGAGTGTGTCTGCATTTTCCTGGGGAACTGTATCCTGGGCATGTCCCAGGCCAGCACAAACTCCAGCTCATGCGAGGCCTTAGGCTTGAGTGCGAGCTGAGCGCAGACAGCGACGCCAATGTCTTTGGCTAAAAGAAAAGACAGAAGCAGAATAACAAATGGAACTTGGGTGGGCTGATGGTAATGACTCACTTTTCAGAGTTTCCCCGGTGGGCTGCTCACTGAGCTGGCCGTGTTCCTTCAGCTGTGCCCACAACTGCTCGCCGCTGCCAGCCGGATCGAACTGTGGACAGCGCGTAATGCTGATCTCGGGCAGAACGCGACACGCGAGGTTGTAGCTGCACGGCATGTCGGCGATCTTCTGGCGTATGGCGACGCCCTTGGCATTGCCTGCACTAATCAGCTGCGACTCGGCACCGCCCTCGGCATCCTGCTTCTTGTTGCCCGTGCCGTTCTTAAAGGTGAACGTGATGGAGACAATGCGCTCCTGATCGCACACATTCTCCACGCTCCACACAAAGACGGCACACGGCAGGCTGGAGTCCCGATACTCGTGCGGTATGACCGGCGAGACCTGGCGACACACCAATCGCACTCCATAGTGCGAGAGATCGTACTCGGTCCAGGAGCGCGGGTACAGCCCCGTGTAGCTGCAGCGTGAGTCCTCGATGTTGGAGTGCCAGGCACTCAGCGGCTGCTTTTGGCGACTGCTGCAATTGGGCAGTTGACATTTAGTTTTCTCCCCATCGGCTTCAGGATCGCTGCCGGACTTGGTGCTAAATATGTGCGCATGTGGCAAAGCGTAAAGCAAAACCAAATCGGAACCAAAGTGCAAAGCGCAATAAAGCCAAAAAGCATCGCCAAATAAATACCCCACATAGGATACCATTATCGATATCCCAGAGATG